AATGAAATAATTTCATCTGATTACATTAATATTTTATTGGAAGCAGTAGGACAAATCGGAAACTGATTGCAAACAGCAGACAATCACTGACTATAGAGAATCCTGGCACTCCATTGGCACTTCAGATCCTTTAAGGAGCCATTCTAAATCTGCAGGAAAATAGTTCAAACATTTTAATTTTGTAATTTAAATTGTATCACTCACTTAACCAGCTATTTAGCTGATTGTAAAACACTGCCTCACTTAACCAGCTATTTAGCTGATTGTAATTATGAAAACACTGAGATATACTTAGTAAAGCCTTAGACGACCTATGACAGTGTATATTATTAATAGACTTGTATGTTTTCCATATCATTTTCACTACTAGTAATTTATATCAAACCCATGAAAATATAACAGTTTCTCTCCAAATGCAAAAAAAATGTTAGCTTATCTCAGTCAGATTTTTTTCCCATAATCGCATGCAGTAAGAGATTATTAATGACTTTTTCTTTATTATACATTCCTCTGAAATGGCTACCTTAATTATGGCATCTTGATTTAATATATGTAAATGCATTTTGTAATAGAAACCTTCACTATTTATAGAATGACTTTCACTGTTTTCTGAGGTGCTGCAGTCAGTTCTTATTAGCAAAGTACAGCCTAATCCTCCAGGCTTCTACCAGCAGCTGTTCCCTGATCTAGCAAACCAAAAATGCTGGCAAATCAGGGTCCTGCAACTGCTTACAAAATTTCAAAGGGATTGTTTTGGGTCAGTGTTACACCTTTGAGATTTTCAAGGGAATTGCCATTTTTATTGAAACATGGATCGTGAATCAGAGCTTTCCTTTGACTTAGCAATGGGGTTTTGAAACTTGACTTGGATGAGAGGAAGAACTGTGTGTCAGTGTGCTGGGGAAATTTAGTTCAACATGTAAATAAAAACAATGTTCCTGTAAATGTAAAGAGTCACTAATATCAACCAGAGTTTATAAGTTATGTGAGTTTAGAAGTTAGAGGTATATATTTTAGCTCTTGTAGACCCCAAGGTGGCCAACTGGCTCTGCCAGGAATGCCACGTGTATGACATCCTCAAGCTAGACCAGTGCTTCAGCCCACATCTTATGCAGTGTGACTGTCCTCATCTGTCTTTTCCCAGAGATCAAAGAAGAATGCCTCAAGATTAAGTCAGAAACTGCGTGCCAAAAGAATGTCTGAGCAGACATTTACAGTCCTAGAAATAAATTATTTTGACTTCCATAAGTAAATACTTAAATGTGCTGCTTTTGCCTGAATCTGGAATAGTTTAAAAATTCTTATTATAGTGAAATTGCACTTTTTATGTCTCATAGGCTCTATGAGAAGGAAAATTATATTGTTTCACCATAGTGGGTGATAGAAGTGAAAGGGTAGTCACAGATAGAATATGTATTTTCACACGTTTATTCTTGCAAAGTGTCATGGTTTGGGCTGGGCTGGCTGCTAAAAAGGCCAATGCTCTATTTTACCTCTCTCCCTTTCAGAGAAGAGAGAGAATCTCCCTTCAGAGGAGAGGAGAGAAAATGGGAGAAACTTCAGAGTTTAAAAGAAACTAAAATATCTGAATGAAATATAATAGTAAAATGATAAATAGAAAATATAATAATACTAATAAGAAAATAATTAAATATACACAAGATATACAAAACCCTATCAAGCTTCCAGGATGACAGTGATGTCACTGGCAGGCGCTGGTAAAGTCCCTGACTGGACCCAGCAATGGACAGGAACTGGATTCCAGATCTGGTTTCAGGAACACGCGGATCTGGATCAAAGGCTAATGAGCACAGAGTCCTCCTCAGACACCAGACATTGAAGAAAGAAGCTGACCCTTTGATCCCTCAGCTTTTATAACGAGAGTGATGCAGATGGGATGGAATACCCTGTTGGTCAGTTTCGGGTCACCTGCCCTGTCTGCTCCTTCCCACAGATGTGACCCCTTTACACCATTCCTCTGGCCCTGCAGCAGGGCCCATAACAGGGTTAGCTGACCTTGGATGTTAGAGCAGTAAGTATAATCTGCATACCATCCCTTGGTATTCACTATGAGCACCAGACATGATCTACTAGAAGCAGACACTGAAAAATATGCTGTTAATTTCAGAGGGTTCAGTTAGTTAGAAGAGGCTTAGCTGAAAAGTAAAATCACTGCAAAGAGAATTGGTTCTGTTTTACCTGAAAGCAGGACAAAATACTAGTAACTTTGTTCTTCCCTTGGTAGGGTTGCTAATAATTTTAGTATGTCATTTTGGTGAAATTCTCCTTCAGTGTTGCCTAAAACAGCAAGTTTCAAGATTCTTATTTATACCCTCTTAAGGAAATTTCAAGACTATTGGAGTGTCTGCTATGTTCTTGATATCAGATCCTTAAAGAATTTACTAGCAGGCCAAATTCTTTACTTGATTTAATTCTTGGGCACTTCAAAAGAAATTCTGGCTACATTTATATGAAAAATGAAGATGATCATTGAAAATGGGATAGGTAATAACTTCACACAAAACATGAAAAAAAAATCTTCTTTTTAAAATGCAAAGGTAAGATCAGACAGATTTTCTTTTCGGTGCAGGGATAAATAATTAAAATCTTGCAGGAAATAAATGCAGAATTTCTGTGCTCACAAAGGACCTAAGAGACATAAAGGGATGAGGAAGAGTAAAATTGCTTTGGATCAGATTTTAAATTTGACTCGTTCAGTAATGGATGAAAACCTTCTCCAGCTGTGGGGTAAATGCTTTGCTGTCATACTACTGCCAATATGTACCCCTCCACAAATCTGAAATTTGTTAATATATGTTTCTGTATTCACTTTATTGTGCCACATTAGTTCAAAACCCCTCTGCTAGCAGTGAAAGGAGAATGACACCAAACAGCATAAGGACTGACTGAGTAGCTAGGAATGATGTGTGCCAAATATACTGTCAGTCTTAACGCCTGTGGAAACCAGTGCTATGTGTTGCAACATTTAGTAGTACTAATCCTAAATCTAAACATTACCCACAGGAAATCTACAGCCATCTTAATCATTTGCTTGAATTGTGCATATGGGACTATGGTATCTGATAGTTTAACATAGATTATTGCTTAGGGACTAGTCTAGGTGTAACTGTATTGTTAGGATGGATAAATTATACCCAGTAGTACAATTACATGCATGCCAGTTTGCCAGGTTCAGTCTTATCTTCAAATGCTGGGCTTAGGGTTTATGGAGACTGTGCGTTGCAGTTATGGTTATTCAAACTCCCCACATATCCTTGAAGTCTATTTAATAATAGATCTGAACAATAAGTGTCAGTGTAAAGCATAGTCATTCATTACTCTTTCATGAACTTCCCTGATTTCTTTTCTATATAAGTATTTATTCTCATACAGCGAGAGACAAAAGCATTAGATCCACAGACAAAGACATACATGGAAAACACACAGGGAATGTATTTTACTAAGTATTCCTTTGAGACTGCAAGAGCTCTGTGGGACAAAGCATGATGAATGATAGTGTAAGAGGCACAACTTTAATTGTGAGATTCCCCCAAACTGATTTCACCCCTCTCTATATATGCTTAATTCTTTCCTCCCTTATTAACGTCACTGTGTCTTGCAAAGAAATAGCACTGCTAGGTTTATCTAAATGTATCTAAAACATCAAAAATAATATCCCAGCTCTTAAAAGGCAACTTCACTTATTCAGTCACTGCCTAAGCTTCACAACATTACTGTGTTGCTGTGCTTACTATTTCTTATCTGTCTGTGTTAAGACTTTGAAGAGCCTCACGAAGATCAAAGACCATCAGGTACGAGACTACCCCATACGATACAGGGCTCCTGGCTCCCTTGACCATTTGGTTGCCATTTTAGTATGAATCATCTTTCTACTAAGTCAGGGCTGGAGGAGCACAGTAGACAGACACAGTGAATGAATGTGGAAATGCTTTAACAGCCAAGCCATGGGATTCACAAACGGTGGGGTGTAAGAGGTGGAATGCCTGCTTCAGCAAGTATTCCTAACAGCCACCAACCGCAAGCTTAGGCAGGGCCAACAGGAGATGGGCCTTTAAATTATTGTAGATGAGCTACTAATAGTCTCTAATCTACACAGGATCAACTGGTGGACTGTTTCAGTCTTTTATGGGTTGTACTTGACCTCTGGTATTTGATTTTGTGGCTTTTTACTATTTTACGTTTTCCTACTTCTCTTTAATAAATTAAAAACTGTCTGGCCTTAGACATGTCTGGCAGTTTCATGTTGAAGTCATGTGAGTTTGGCAGTTGGGGGAAAAAACAACCAAAAAGCAAACAAAAAAATCATTTCAGAGTGAAATTGGATTGGACTGCCTGCTGTTCTCCCTGAGCTGACTAACCTGTGAGTTGCTCTCAATGGCAATGGCTAATCAAGCTCTGAGATGAGGAACCTACACAGGAGACCACAGAGAATTGTTTTCATGGAAACTCAGTTTAATATCCTGTCAGTTTTGTTTATTATTTTAATGGAGTTGAATTTATTCTGTAGCCACAAACTTCACATTATATTTGCAATTTTAGTATTATTTAAAAGCGTGCTCTGAAAAGCTGCCATTCAGGAAGTTAATGGGAGCTATTCCAGCTGCCCCTTGACAGAACACAGGAAAACTGTTAAGTGCCAGCTTTCCCCTCTTCCAACAAGGTCCTCGGCCTTGCTCTTCTTCCAGTCTAAAACCATCCCCACTATAAAATAGGGCAATATGTCTTCCAAAACAAGTAGTTTCTATAGGCCAATTTTCACTAACTGATGAAAACTGATCAGCAACGAATCCAAGTGGAGAGAGACGTTCATTTAAAAATTCCCCTTTTATTTACCCTGAAAGAACAAAAAGTTATTATGCTAAGTTGCTCTTGGTATTTTAATAAGAGTTGAAGCTACCCTATCTCTTGGAGCCCTTTCTTGTGCTAGCTAGTTCGTATCATTTTAAAGGAATTATCTGAAACACTGTATCATTCTGCAGGTCTGCTGTTGTACAGATGGGAAAGCATGTTTGCACCAAGAATTTGTGAATACATAAACATAAGCGCACTGAGATGAGGATTGTCACTGTGGTTGATGGTGAGTAGTTTTGTCACATGTGATGTGACACTTTTTGTGCACTTTGGGGTTTTTTTCAGTGAGTCTTCAACCAGGGACTAGAGCTCATACTATTTAATTTATGTGATTGTTTACACTGTGAGATAGCAGCAGCAGTGTATAATTTGCAAGTGTTCTATAGATAGAAATGTCTTTGTTTGAATTAGTGGTCAAATAAGTAGGATTTGTTCAAATCAGCTCATGAAGAATTAACAAAGAAAAACAAAGACGCTAAATGAATCCATTAAATGCCCCATTTCAAGCAGTTCTCTCTATTCTAGTATTTATGATTTCAGCTGTACATTGTTGGTATCCTACCACATTAAAAGCTGTAATGCTTTTCGTGAAATCCATGGTCTTATTTCTGAGAAACTAATCTCCATTATTAGGCACATAGATATCTGGAGTTATTTGAACACAACTCCTGGTAGAAGAATGCTCTCTGATTTTTGTGGCGGGGGGGAGTAGGGAGGAACAGGCAATGCTGGGAATGCAACTTAGGTGCACCCCTGCCCTTTTTCTATAGGGTTGATACAAATAATTAGTTATGGCATGTTAGTGCAACATGATTGCATTATAGCATCCTGTACTGCTCTAGCTTATTTATTAAGCCACATCAAATTAGATAACGCGAAAACATTTCAGCCTGATGGAAACGTTACCATGTTGCCTAATGCTGTGCAACGTGCCAGAAACCTTGTTCTCCTGTAGCCTCGGGTATTAGGGCAAGGAGATGATGGATGTGAGCACTCAGTAGCCACCTCACAGTCTCTTTCTTCCTGCCAGGAAGGTCTCTTGGCTTTTCAGCTCTGCCTCTGCTCTGGCAGGCTGGTGGCTGCCACCTGGCCTCACTTGCAGCCATCAGATCCAGCTTTGCAGGGAGGAGGAGGCACATGGTGAAGAGTGTGTGAGGCTCTGCGGGCTTGCTGGGAGCAAGAGGAGGAAGAGATGGGGTTCTGGAATTGGTCATCTTGAATGTCTTGGGGAAAGCCACAAGTTACTGCAAAATTCACTGGCAGTAAGCAGGAGAGCCCTGGGGGAAAGATGTGGAGGAGGCAATGACAGTGGTGAGTCCTTGATGGGCTTGTGAGCTAATCAGCCCATGGGCTGCTTGAAAGGTCACGTTATTAAGCTGCTTGAGGACAGCTGACCAAATCTCCACCACCCTTCAAAGTTTTCTTGTAAGAATGCTCTAAAATCCCATATCAACCTGGTATTTTTTACTGCTTGTAAGAGCAACAGATATTCTCACAACACATCCCTCAAGAGCTTTCCCCTCCTTCCTGTCCAGGTACACAGGGTCTTCCTTGTATGTTTGAGGTCACATCGCTCGCTTCTAATGACAAGACTCAATATGCTGCGGGAGTGGTTGGACTCGATGATCTCAAAGGTCCCTTTCAACCATGAATATTGTGTGATTCTGTGAAATGCTCTGCCTCGGGCTCCAGCAGGGCTCAGCTCTGCTGGCACTCAGGGGCCGATGGAGCCGTCCAGAACAGCCAGAACTGGCTGTGGGCAGCCCCAGCCGCTCCTCAGGCTCCTGCAGCAGCTGCCTGGGCACTGGCACCCACCACAGTCCTGTGGGGGAGCTGCTCAGATGGCCCAGAGGGAAAGACCTTCAGCAGGCATCACTACTGTTTCTTTTCACCCTGATTCCCCCAGCTGACCTGGGTGATGGCCAGTCACCCCTCAGGGGTGGCTCTGCTTCCCCTTATGCCCACCTGGGGCCTGAAGCTGCCCTGCAGGGAACCTAAGGGCTGAAGTCAGTGGCTCACACCTGAAGGATTGAGCTCATCTGCTAGCTCTGTGTGGGTACACACAATGCAACTGTGCTTAACCGCTTCTAGCTGGAGACCTGCTATGATTTTTTGTGATTTTCTAGTGCTAATAGTGTTCTAGAAATCACGTAAGAGATGTTAATAATCTGTTCTGTGAAACCAATGTTACATTTCTGCTCTGTTTTCAACAGAAACCAAGTGCCTCCCATTAAACTCAATGAAAACTGTAACCAGGTGCCTTGACAGGACATGTTAGAAATACAGCTTATTTTTCCCCCTCCAGCCCTCCTCAAATACACATAAGGTTTATAGATAATATTTTCTGTTAGCCTAAAGCATCTTTTTTAGAAACAAGTGGCTCTCTTGCGGCTCTTTATCAGTGTCATGTCAAGCTGAAGTGTGCAGAGAGAAGACAAGGAGTGCTTTCTAACCCACTTCGTATAGGTTTAAATGTATATATTATGGAGGGCAATAGGGGATCAGACTCAGTGGAGTAACTTCAGAAATAATTGAAAGCGGGACTTGTTCCTGGTACTTTGTAAATAGTAGCAATAACTCTTCGTGTTTCACACACTATTTGAGCTTTTAATATTCTGCTGTGCCATTATGTGGCCAGGACTGAAAAGCAAAATCCTTTCAGATCTCTTGTAAAAAGATTTCTTGCAGAAAGATTTAAGAGGTAAATCAGAGATAAAGAGGAATAATTAACTTTTTCAGAAGTCACTTTCAGCCAGGAGAATTAAGTCTTGCTTTTGATCTTTCAAATTGACCATGAACCTTGCATTCGTTTTATGGTGTACATTATAATTATATAAAATTATGTGTTACAATATATAAGTAGAGCTCCATTATAGACAAAATGAAGTGTAGTGTTTTGGAGGAGATACAAGCAAGAAAACATGAAGCATGTGAAAAATCTAATCAATAAGATGACAGATTCAAAATAAAAACATTAGCTGCTAGAAAATCGTGATACATCACATCAGTTGTGTTAAGCAATACTATTGGATTAAATTATATAGTAGTGAGAAGCAGAACATATCAAACATAAATAATTAATTCTCCTCTCTCAAGCATTTATTTTGGTTTATAGTGGTAGGTGTAGAAACTATTTTGTCCTACTAAGATTGAGAAAATGAAGAAAGGTGCATGTGGAGGTAGAAAATGGGATATACACCTCAGGAACTGGGCATCCTGCTTAACCTGCACAGGACCCATCCACGTGCATTCAGTTAGCTGAAGGTGGCATAGGAAGCACAGTAGTGAGATTACATTTCATGCACCTGCAGGATGCAGCATAAGTCAGCCTTTTCCCAATCCTCATAAGAGAAAAAAGAGGGAATAAAAAAAAGGTGATGTATAGGGAACAGAAGTGGGGAATATTTACTGTTGTTTACAGCCATTTTCCCTTTGTCCCTAAGCTCAGCTGAAATTGTCAGGCTACCCCTCTGCTCTGTGTCATGTTTGAGATCTCCATGAGTTGGGGTTCTGTTGGCGATGGCGTAGGTACTGGCCATATCAGACTTGGGCTGGTGGGGGAATTCTCATACTCTTCCTATTTGGGGTTGTTTTCTGGTTTTTCTCCCTGCACCAAATCCAACAGGCTCTTTTAATAATCATTTTAGGTCCTTAAATATTTGTCCCATTCAATAAATATGTTTCTAATGTCAATGATCAAATGCATTAGCGGCTGAAAAAACTCTGGCTATAGCAATTGCAATGCAGAACAATCAGAGACGTGTCACAGACTTGTAAAATGTCACACATCTGCCATTGCAAATGAGCCACTATCACACCTTTAAAACAGCTCTTTTGATGTATTCTAATGCACAAATTATGGTTGTTGTCACATCTTATTACTGTTATCTTGTGGAAGATTGAAATGTTTTGCTATCTGATATCAAATTCCTAATAATTTACCTGCCTCAGATAGAAAGAAAGAAATTGGGTAGAATGCTAGTTTTTCCCTGAGTTTCTCAGTATTCCCGCAATGGTATTTAATGCACTTTGCTACAGTAATGCATTTTGAAAGATTCAGGGTGTATATTTCCAGGGCAAACTATATGGCATAGTTTTTGTCTAAAACCCTAATCGCACCATGGAACAGTGAGCAACCTGATGGAGGGGACAGACAATACAGGTTTTTGTCATTTAGCTAAGCACAGATCAACAGGATGGTTGTGATATTTTGACTGAGGTGGGTAAAGGCTGTGCTGTGTGGAAAATAAAGTGTTAGATGCAATCCTGCTCAGTCAGTAGTAAAGGTCTCATGACAAAAATGGTGCACATTGTGGCTGGTGGCAGCGGTGTAGTGGCACTCCCTTGGAGGACAGAGCAGCCCACAGGGTGGATGATGTGCTATGCTAGCAAAATAGTTTTTGCAATGTTTTAAAACAAAGCTAATGTACGAATCCCTTGGTTGTTTCAATCCTTCAGTCTGTCAAACGAACATGAAAGGAGGAAAATAATCCATAATGTGGAGCTGAAGCTTGGTCGGCAGGGGTGCAACTTTTACATGGCTCAAAAGCGGGATCTTTATGCCTACAGCAGCTACAAGCAGTCTGTCTAGAATCACCTGAACAAAAACACCTTGGAGGAAGCTGCTTGGTCATCCCTTCCCTGTATTTGGAGAAAAAGGCTTCATAAATGGCATGTTTGCTTGGACCCCTCTGGCAGTTGAGGTAGGACATGGTCTCATAACGGTGTGGAGAGGGCTTTGCATCTGCAGGGGAAAAAGTCCATTCAGGGCAGGGAGTAGAAGGAAAACTACTGGAGTGCTGGAAACAGTGCAAAATATCAGTCAATGAGGATTTTTGTCCTGGCAACTATTTCTAGAGAGAATCTGGATATAAATTACACCATCCAAAATTAGTAGACTCCTCAACCACTCTAGTTTATTAACTTTCTTGGCAATTCCCCAGAAGTTGAAGTAAGTTTGGTGGATTGCATCGTGCTTATTAACTGGAGAGAATACCTCCTAAGCATTTTTACTGTTCTTTTAATGTCTGAACCTGAGAATATTATGGCTGCAAAATGAATTATAATGATGTGCTAAACTGGAGTAATCTTGGTCATTTTATTAAGCACTTTGTGAATGAAATGGAGATTACTGGTGCTGTATTTGAATATACTCCCTGTGCCTCTGCAGAACATGTGTGCAGCTCCTCTAGAAATGAGAATGCAAAACATATGG